CGAAGCTGACATTTGTCAATCACATCGACGCGATTACAGCCAGTGCACATGGGGCAATGGGTTTTATTAAACGCACATTAAAGAATAAGTTTACGATTGAATCTGCAAAAATGTTATACTGTGCACTAGTAAGATCAAAGTTAGAGTACGCGAGTATTGTATGGCAACCATATCACCGTATCCATTCCAATAGAATAGAATCAATTCAGAAAGATTTTGTGATATGGACATTGAGATTTATTTACCAAAGAGACGAGAATTTTGTGCTACCACCGTATCAATTTAGATGCGATGTTTTAAATATTCAACCGCTTTGGAGACGGCGTATAAATGCCTCTATATTTTTAATTTATGACCTCCTTTTGGGTAAAATAGTGTCTAGTTCACTAAGAAATAAAATTGTATATACAAGACTGCAATATAACGAAAACCAGAGAAATTTAAGAAATACAGAACTGATTAGGGTCAGAGCGTTTCCTTCAGACTATGCACATAATCAACCATTTTACGTGGCTTGTAGAAATTTTAACTTAGTAAGAGAACAATTTTTGGCATCAGCATCAAGACAAATTTTTAGAAATAGTATTGTCAAATTGGAAAATGTGATTTTTATTGATAGGTGAAAAATGTAACTTTTATGTAGTAATAAACAGTAATTAACAGTGAACACAATCGATATCTGCTACTCCGAAGTCGAAAAGGCTGGTAGCTGGGTATCGATCGGGTAGTGTTTCATTGTAAACGATATTGTACAAATTTTGAGATAAATTCAATCTGTGATCAGACGGTGAATAAATAAAAAAAAAAAAAAAAAAAAAACCGAAAAAACTGTGAAACCAATGGACAGCGAAAAACAAAAAATAAGAAGAAAAAGAGAAAGAAGAAGAAGAAGAAAAAGAGAAAGAAGAAGAAGAAGAAGAAGAAGAACAACGACAAAAAAAAAAGGAAAAAGAAGAAAACAATGAGCCACATTTACAACAACAACAAAAAAGAGAGCAACAACAACAAAACAATCATAATATACAGGGTGTATATCGGAATCTGCATCGACAGCGTGATGAACCACAACATTTTGGCCACGAACAGAATAATCAACGTTTTTATCAACGGATGTCTGGACGAGATTTTGAGAATGGCCATCTACAAGATTATCACACACAATCTATTGACAGGTCATTTCAAAGACGGAATTTTGTGGACAATCGACGCAGACATGGACAACATCGTGAGAATTGTGACTGTATGAGGTGCTTTGAAAAGTTTGAAACGCGGTATGAAAATTTTCGTCGTGCCCGTCTCAGTCAACGGCCGCCTGCTCAACGGTGGCAACACTGGCGCCTACACTAAATCTCAAGCAAAACGTTTCTGTTGATTTTTCATCGCTGGATTTTGACTATAGTTACTCTGGTAATTTAAATAATTACGGTATATGTTCTCCACAGGGGAATATGAGTACTACACATAAATTAAATGATGAAAAATACATTCAGCAGATATCGATCCATTCACAAAACGTAAATGGATTACGTTCGAAAATTTCGGAGTTTGCTGCTGAGATACTTGTTCAACTGTCATCAATTTACATGCTTCGCGAAACACATTTGAATGAAGCAATTAATTCCATCGACATTTTTCCGCCAATGTATGAAGTCTATCGATGTGACCGATCAACGAATACTGAAAAGGACCAAGTACATCAAAAGGAGAGAGGAGGTGGAGTATTGATTGCTGTCAACAACAAACTAAAGTCAGTTTGCATCGGAACGGGTGACCATTACCAGCATGATAAGGAACATCTTTTTGGTTGAATTGTACATCAGACCTGACTCAACTCTCAAAGTATATGAAAACAACATGTATGCTTTGAAAGAAATAGACTGGCACGAAATTTTCAAAAGAAATTCTTTAGAATTGAGACTAAACAGTTTCTATGCAATTGTAAGATCAACAATAGAAACTCATGTGCGGTTGAAAACAAGGGTCAAGAGTATGCATCCCGGGTGGTTCAACAATCCATTAATCAGGATGAAAAACAAAGTCAGCAAAGCACATCGAAATAAAAACAATTACGACACAATCGAATCAATAGAACATTTCAAAGAATTACGGAGACGATATAAACAATGCGCGCGCTCTGCTCTCAAAGATTATCGAATATTGAAATGGAGAATCTGATAGAAGAAGATCCAAAAAAATTCTTTATGTATAATTCTACATGTGAATTTTAAGAAGGGGAAAAGTGATGATTTGCCGCATGAAATGACTTATTTAGGAGTGAAGGCGAATGAACAGTCAACAATCGCTGGTTTTTTTGCAAAGCACTTTGCCGCCGCTTACAGCTCTTTGGAGGGAGATTTACAATATGACAGCTCAGAAATCAATAATATACATGATATTTGTGCTGAAATATCAACGATTGATATAACCGAGGAGCTAGTGGGACAACAAATAAGCATGCTCCCAGATGATCTAGTCAGTGGTCCAGATGAAATTCCAAACAAGTTTATAAAACATTGTTTGATATCATTGCAAGGACCAATCACAACACTATTAAAGGAATCACTTGAAACTGGTTCTGTGCCACAGACAGACAGGCCAAACCGTGGCCGAGATGTCAAATCACAAATGTCATTAGTTGTCCCTATCGAAATCTGCTGTCAAGCAAGTTATATATTAATTATTGTATTACATTTTGTTGGAGACTTATTTATTTAGAAATATATAAAAAGAATGTGAATGTGAACAAAAGAGATAAAAAAAATTAATATCGTGACGAATTATGTAATAAAATAAATATTATAATTCAATTACTCAGCGGAAAGTATGCTTGAATACGTCTATACCGCTGCAAAGCGGTACCAATATATACAAACAGACAAAGGTAGACTCACTTTGGATAACATTTCTATTTTATACACCTAATGACGGCTCATCATTTTTGTTTTTATTTTATTAATATTTGATGTACAAATATTTGAAACAAAATAGATGAATTGTAAACATAAAAGAGAACAAATTCTATCTCTTTCAAAACTGCTTGATGTAAGAATTATATTATAATTATTTGAATAATTTTAAATAAACCACCAAGGCGAAGGAACGCTGTTCGGTGCAGTAATTATTATAGATTCAAAGTTTTTATTCAAATCTTATTTTGATTATTAAAGTTCAAGTTTAATACTACATATTGACGTAATTTTATTTTATTTATCGCTTCAATTTTTGTATAGCGGGAATTTGTCATAAATTTTTTTTTTTCCCATGATTCGATGATATAAATTATGTTTAAAAAAGCTAATTCACAGCGAACGGAAGTAAGCGCGAGTGATGGAACCAACTTAGTCTGTTGAAAAATCGACTTGCTATAGGATAGAAAAATCTAGAAATTAATGACATCAACTGTATAAAATACCTACTTTCAGCTGAGATCAATGATTATATGATTACGAAAAACGAAATTCACATTCGTCGTTGTGTAGCGTTTGTGTGATACTAAAAAGTGATGGTTGCCAAATATGGTGGATCAAATGGCGATACTTGCATGTCATAAGTCACACATGATTCGTTTTCGAGATATTTTCAATTCGTCGGTACCCCAATTATTTTGATATCAGGAGAAAAACACTTTTTATAATTTGCTTGTGATTTTTTTGTGTTTATTTTTGGTAAAATACACTGTGTGGATTAGTTACAATTTTCTCTATAATTTAATGATAACTGTAGTTTAGATTATTTCAACACACACAAAATATATAGTGGTAAAATATGTAAGTGTCGATGTAAAATTCCATCGCATTTATTTTTCGTTTCGATTTTGAACATATCAGATTGGTAATAGGCAACTTTCCTGTATATCGATCGAATTAATTATTATTAAATAATATTTAACCATTTTTGTATAGTTCTAAGAATTCTGAAAATTGATAGTCTATTGACAGAGTATTGCTCAGCGCATTTGCCATCCACAGACTATTAAAATATCTTGCTGAGAGTGCATCGTCCGTCGCATGCGAAGGTACGTAGCAGTTTTAACATCATCGTGAACAACAATACATACATTGTTCTCAATACAATCGTTTGAATGATTTGAGTGACATAATCGTGAAGTGAACATTGCATTCATTCTTGTTCGCTGTGATGTATAAACTGCTACGTATATTCGCATGCGACGGACGACGCATTCTCAGCAAGATATTTTAATATGCTGTGGATGGCAGCAGCGCTGGGCAATACTCTGTCTAATGATACATTTAAAATTAGTGACTAGTGCATAATTTTGATTGGTTTTTCAAATATTCTATTTATGAAATATTTCGGAACAAATATATTCATAAATTTCTTATTTTGGTATATTTAATAGTTCTGTATTATTTTGTAGTTCATCAGTTAACTAGCTAAAACGCTTCCAAATGATAATGATCTTTTTACATTAAACAATGCATAAAAATAATTCAAACTTTTCTCAATAAATATTTTTTTCTGTTTTACAAAATTCAAAAAACGATCAATGGTCAAAAGAGAAATGCATTGAAAATCTGTAATGTTAGTATAGTTAATATAAACAAATTGTAAATAAGAATGACTTCTCAGAGTGAAAAGTAATTCATATTTATTATTTATCATTTTTTTGAATTTATTAAAGCCATTTTATCCAATTAGTATTCCAATTTTACACACGAACACTCCCTTATCGTTAGAAATGTAATTGCCCTTTTTTATGGAGTATCTAAAGAATCATCTATCCATTATCAATGAGATTTAGAAAGTGTGAAAAAAAAAATTGAATAAAAAATGATTGAAGAATTTCCAAAAGTCACAAGTAACAAGAACACAAGTTTATATTTTGAATATAATAAAGAGTTACAGAAAAATCGATATTAAAATATATTTAGTTTTTTGTATTAGTAGTAATTGTTGAGTGGTATTGTTAAGTCTGTATGTACAGCGCTAGTTGAAAAATTAAATAATTGTGTCAGGTTTGAGTATGATTATCATCAACACTATAATTATATATCAGAAAAAAGCACGCAAGCTAGTGAGGGACACAGCAATGCAATCCCTACTAAAGAGTTGGATGGTGGCGACAGTGGTGATAGGATTTGTAAATTTATTGACACGACGCCATGTTTCTATACTTCTCCATTAAAACGTACATATAACAGAAGAAACACACAGTCCAACAAGACTAAATGATATGAAGAATACTCGCAACCCTCAATGTCAACGAGATCGAAATTGCAAACATACGATGAAAATGACTTACAAAGTGTGTTACAAAAAACGAGAGCTGTTACTTATATATTGAGAATTGGCAACACTGACGTTGCTAGATGCAAACCATTGTCTTATTCGTTAAGATTGACATTTTGTAGCATAAACATCCTCAGAACGTTCTGTCATACGTGCGCTATTTGTATTGTTTACAGTAACATCTAAATTGCGTCTCAACAAAAAAATGGAATTAACACGTGAAAATTTCCGTGCGATAATTTTTTACAACTTTCGACGAGGATTATCTCAACAACATTGCATCGATGAAATCCATTCAGATTTTGGTGATGAAGCTCCATCCAAGGCCTCTGTATATCGCTGGTTCACTGAATTCAATCGTGGCCGTCGTTCGCTCAAAGACGATCCCCATGAAGGTCGTCCAAAATCAGTTGTTGTTCCACAAAACATCGATGCTGTCAGAAACATGATAATGGAAGATCGTCATGTGACATACCGTGAGATTGAGGCATCATTGGGCATTTCCGTTAAAATCATATACACGATTTTACATGAACATTTGGCCGTAAAAAAAATTTGCTCGCGTTGGATCCCACATAAATTGACCGATGAGCAAAAAATTGCTCGTGTGAATTGGTGTAAAGAAATGCTCAACAAATATAACCGCGGTGCATCATATTCCGTCTATAACATCGTCACAGGTGACGAATCGTGGATGTATGCGTATGAGCCCGAAACTAAACAGCAGTCGACAGTATGGGTCTTCCAAAGTGAAGATAATCCAACGAAAGTTGTTCGCGCTCGAAGTGTTGCGAAGCAAATGGTCGCCTGTTTTTTCGCAATTAGTGGACATGTGGCAACACGCAACAGTTCCACTAGAGGATCGTAGAACAGTGAATTCTGACTGGTACACCACCATTTGTTTGCCAGAAGTGTTTGGTGAATTAAAAAAAAACAACCGCTGGCGCAGAATAATTCTTCATCACGATAATGCGAGCTCTCACACATCCAATCAAACAACTCAATTTTTGACCAGTCAAAACATCGAACTGATGGGTCATTTGCCGTACAGTCCTGATTTGGCAACCAATGACTTCTTTTTGTTCCCGAGCGTGAAGAAAAAACTACGTGGTCAACGTCTTTTGACGCCTGAAAAGCACATTGCGTTCAAAACACATGTTTTTGAGATATCAGTTTCGGAGTGGCATGAATGCTATGACAAATGGTTTCATCGAATGCAAAAGTGTATCGATCATCACGGAGAGTATTTTGAAAAACAATAAAGTCATTTTCAATAATAAATGTTTATCTGTGTTTGCTATTCTCAATATATAAGTAACAGCCTACGTATCACAAATTTTGACATTAAAATAATTGTTGCTGTCGTTTCATTGCTGCGGTGAGGGATTATTACTGACAACAAAACAACAATTGTTGCAGGGTCTTAAGTTGTAAAAACAATTCCATTCCATGCTTCTTATAATTGACTATATTGAACAAATCTTCATAACAAATGTTCAAAAAAAACGATCGAAATTGAATCACAATTAGGAAAAGTGGGGTCTAAATTGTATTGTTTGTCAATTCTTGATTTGAATGAATAAATTTTAACGTATTGACAAAGCAAAGAAATCACAACAAGTTCGCACAATTGTTCTTAACCCTCCTAGGCAAGTAACGGTCTATTAGACCGAAAACATAAAAAAAATCTCATAAAATTGAAACGCGTCGACCGATTGCCATCAAATTTTCGCCTTTTTACGAGAATAATGAATAAATATTGAAATTAACATTTAAAATCCTGAAACTGTTCTGTAAAAAAAAAAATCCAGAAAGTCGAAAATCCTTACTTGATCGTATAGTTACGGTCTCTTAGACCAAACAAAATGTATGGGAAACACATAATCTTTTCACAAATTAAGTTGGTGAAAATTTATGATATCCGTTTAATAAAAATGAAAAATAAATTGGAAAACGAGAAGATAGGTTGAAATTCTCAAGACAAATCAATTTGAATCATTCTTGTTTATCGCGTACATCTTATTATTATTTCAATAAAATGTCTGTCAGAGAAAAATCGATCTGTAGTCTACAATAGCACGAAAGGCGGTGTGGATGTTTTGGATCAAACTAGGGATCAAATGTGCCATTCACACTCATGTCAACGTGGAACCAATCGATGGCCATTTGCATTCTTCATGAACCTCATCAACGTATGTGGTGTTGCAGCATTTGTTGTTTACAACACAAGTCACGATATCATTCGAAAATCAATGTTTTGTGTGCAAAATGCGAACAAAAACGCTCTCATGTAAATTATTCTGATGATTCAAATTAATTATTTTCTTGAAATCTTTTCAATTTTTAACTTTCAAACCTTTTTCAATGTTTTTATTTTTAAAAAAATGCAAAAATTTGAAAAAATGTGTGATTTTGTTTTGGTTTTTGTTTGGTTTCCCTGTATTTTGTATGAACGGTCTGATAGACCGTAACTATACTATATTGTTTTTATTTCGAACTATACCTAGGAGGGTTAAACGTCTTTCTTATCATCGCGACTAGGTGCTTGAATAACACTGTATAATAATCGATTATTATCGATTTCCAGAATAACCCAAAATGAAAACTTCTAAAAAAAGTTTGTGCCAGTTGGCTTAGTTAAGCAAAACGGTTATCGGAATTAGGTGGGAATAACTAGTGCCGTCTCTGGTGCTTTTGCAACTAAGACGGTGTATTGAATTGACTTTTTTCTGATAGATAATGTATATATACATTAAGTGATAGCGATAATTATCAAAGAAGTATTGAAAATAACCATACAATCAATTTTATCGTAATATTCAATACAGTAGTGTGCGGAGAGGTAGGGGGTTTACCTCCCCCTTCCCCCGTGATTTGGATGAGAAATTTTATTCGCGAAAATTATTCGAATTTGCGAGGGTTTTTGATTCAAAAAGTGAAGACCTTTTTTTTAGCTCATTAATGTAGAAAATTGAGAAGAATTCTTTCAATTTGCTAGGGTACCCCGAATGAATAATTTTCCTCGCACACTACTGATTCAATATATATTTCATGATTATTATTTTTTATAAGGAAAAATAATATGTTCAATTCTGTATAAATAATACAACTTCGTAGACATATATCGTAGTTAGAAATTATTTTATAAGTGGTTCGCTTTTTGGTTCTATTGAATATGTATTTTTTAAATAGATGTTAACGTAATGTGCCCAGTTACCGGACACCTAAGAAGCTTGTTTGAATTTGAACTATTTTAGAGAAAAAAATATGTCATATTTCTTAATACTCTTTTCGTAAATCGCTACGTTATTCATTTCTTTCTCAAAATATTTCTATATATTCCACAAATCCTTTATTTTATTCATTTTATTTATAAAAAAAATGGAAACAAGTCAGCGTGCCTTGGTATCGGACATGTAGTTTTTGCTGATGTACCAGTTATCGGACACAGAGTTGGTACCAGTTATCGGACATAGTTTTTCAGAAAATAAAATAAAGCGTGAACGGAAGAGTCATGAAATTTTTTTCATTCGATAGGCGATAAAAACTTAATTATTTGGAAAATATGTTCAAAATATTTTATTTTGGATTTCTCGACAAAATTTCGAATTCTTGTATTCATCTTAATGAAAGGAATGTCAATTTGGAGAGATGAGTTTAAACATTATATAAAAATAATCAGAAAACTTCACTGATTAAAAATATTTTGAAATTAAAATACAATTTTATTATTGAAGTAAACATTTCACTTAGTGGAACAATCCTTTCTGTTTAAAGAACTCTTCAACACAAGAGCGTATATCGTGTCCGATAATTGGGCATTACGATTTTGTATGAAAATGTACCAGATATCGGACATTGGAAAAAATGTCAAATCAAACGCTTTAAAAAAAATTAATTCGATAAATTGTAAAATTTTTCAAAAAATTCAGAATCATCGCTTCAAAAATATAAAGAGGCTTACGTACGCAAGCTGACTTTTCCGCATGGAACCGAAATTTTGGGAATAAACTGAAATTATGGTCTATGTATGGTTGCAGTAACTTAAATTACCGTGAAACCTTGTGAATATTATTTTCTTATCAAAATAAATAATCACACCAAGTTTAAAGAAATTTCAATCAAAAAAATAGTCTGTTCAAAGTTTCACATCATTACGGTACCACAAAGGCAAGTCTTTCATACAAAAATGAAATTTTGTGTGGATTTTTGTATGAAAAGTCTGTGAAAAATTGATTGCGTCTTAAAACTAACATCATAATCGGGTTTCTCGTGCCAAAAAACCCCCCACTACAAATTCTTTCAGCGTTCAAATTGAAAGAATATCATTTTAAGGCATTTTTCTTATAAGTGCCTCTTCAGAGTCTAAGTTTTACACCGATCAATCAATGTCGTTGAGAATTTGACCAGATCTATTCCTCGTAATGCCCAATCATCCCGTGAAGTCACATTTTGAATTTCATGTCTGAGCACGAAACCATCGTGTCACCAAAATGGTTGAAAAATGATCAAAAAAGTAAAATGTATGGATTGTGGGTACTTCATTCGGACCAAAAAAAATTACACCGGTCAACAGATATTGTTCAAAAACTAATCAGCACGTCTCCTAGTAGTCCCAAATCATCCTGCGAAGTCAGAATTTGAATTGAGTTTTTGGAAGAAGATTTATCGAGTTAACAAATTTTGGCAACACGCCACAGGACACAGGACACAGGTCAAAGGTCACAGGACACAGGACACATCACACACAGCGGCGCACATTAATATGCACCAAAATCATCTCCAATCGTGTTTTCTACATTAAATATGCATAGAAAATATGTTTTTGGATGACTTTAATTTTTTGGCCTAATACAATACCTTTCCTACACTAGGTGTGCGGAAAAGTAATATAATTACTGCTGCATAAAAAATTGAAATAATTTTTAAAAAATCTATTTGAATGTTCACTTGAACTGTTCTTCCTGTCCGATAAATGGGCAAATACCATAAATAAGACACTTTTTCCTGCCCAGTTCTCGGTTGAAAATTTATAAAATTGATTTTATATAACAATTAAAATTAAATCTACGATATTTAATTACTTTAAATGTGAAGTTTCACACTAATGCGTATAGTTTGAAATATTTTTCTTCAAACTTGCATAGAGCAACTCATGTGACTGACGTTCGTTTTTAAGCGCAAATGACAGAAAAAATTCAATGATGCTGAAGTAAATGATAAAAAAAGGATATTCATTTGTAATGCAAAGAATAACTTTTAATGCCCTCTAATCGAAAAAACTATGAGCTTTCTTTTTATATATATAAATTTAAGAATATTCGAGTATGAATTCGTTTTTTAAATACAAAGCAAATGTCGGATAACTGGGTGCTGTCCGGTAACTCGGCACATTACGTTATCTATTATATATACAATAAAGAAGTTAACCGATGTTTTCAAATTCGTTCGACATAGTTACCCGGAAAAGTTCCGAAGAAACCTGTCCGTTGTGAGGTGCCAACAAACCAACCATCATCGCATTTTTCCAGTACATAGACCAAATCACCTTCTTGTAATTCAAGCTCATCAGAATTTTGTGGTCGATACTTATAAATGGACCTATATCTAGTTGAATAAGAAAAAGGACATTTAATTTAGATGAACGGAATAACAAATGTTTTGTTTTACTTACGGTACCGGTTCCGAGTTTGTATCTACATGTAGAGCTTCGGTCTTTTCCAATGTCTTTGAAGATTGTCGAAAAACAGGAGATTGATTGACCCAAGAAATTATATTTGATGTTGTTGTAACATTGGATGAAGAATTCGATAGTGGTGATTCTTCATGGAGTGATTTAATCAGTGAATGAGCGGCAGGGCTTCCGACTGGCTTGCTTCCCACAGCAATATCCGTCAAAACCTTTATTTTAAATTAAATGAGTGAATCAAATTAGTTAATCTATTGAATTTTTCTTAAAAGCAATTTCGATTGAATTTTTTTAAAAATATTTATGAAGTTTTGTTAATAAAACCTGATCCATTAGTTTTGGCACAAATTCAAGCGTACGCTATTTGATGAGCAAAGAAGCAATTTGAAAATACGTCTCAGTGGTAGTTTGCTCTATTCATACGCTATCTGAAAACACATTTACAGTACACTCAATGGACCGTTGTCTTCGATTTTTCGCAGTGTATATCGAACCAACAAAAATACTCTGAACGACAGATTTGTCGATTTATTAATATAAAAAAATCACGGAGGACGGCAGTCTCGGCATATGAAATATGTAAATTTTGCGTCACTCTATATATACGTTAAAGAAATGAAAATCGATACCGCTTAATTTTGGAAAGGGGTTTTTGCATATTTTAGTAGTGCTCGGGCACCAAATTAAGAATCCGCAAAACAAAATTTAAAAAATTCAGAATTTGGCCGCTAGGTGCCATTTTTAAAAAATCGCTAAAAATTCCTTTTTCTCGATTTTTGACCACCGACATGCTTTTTTTGAATTTATTTTTGGTCATATTCGGAATACAGGGACTGCGTAGATAATGTTAAAAAAAAATATCATCACGATCGGTTGAAAAGTGGACGAGATATGGTCAATTGGTCGAAAATAGCCAAAAACCTCAAAATTGGCCGGATGATATGTTTGTATGTCTGCTTTTTTTTCTCCGTACTTTTTGAAAAACGTTTTGAAACCAATTTTTATTGAAAGTAGATGGAAAACTGAGAATACATGTGCTTTTGAAATTTTCGATTTCGTTTCGTATGTCTCTCGGGTCTGGGGTCGAAAATTTTTGGGAGGCCCCTTTTGAGGTTTTCGATCTGAAATCAAAATGGAAAAAATGATCCGAAGTCAAAATGGAAAAAATTTCAAAAATGTCCGCCAAGTGGCGTGTTATGTGACATTTTCGGTGAAAAATGACCATGACTTTTTCACGTAATCCCAATTTAAAAAAATTGTCTATGAAAAAAATCAAAAAACTGGGCGTTATTTGGCGTATGTGTCACATCTGGGACGGGTCAAGGATATCCCATTGGCGCTACTTTGTTCATCATGTTTGTAATTGATCTACCTTTCTTCGTGACCAATTCTACCATAATTTCATTCGCTGATGATACAAAAATTTCAAAATGTATCACCTCAACAGATGACTGCATTAATCTTCAAAATGACTTGGATCTTGTAGCGGATTATTATAGACGCAATTTATTAAAATTAAATGTAAACAAAACAAAGACCATATCATATCATCGGGGATCACTCCAATATGAATACAAATACAACATAGGCGGCATTCAAATAGAAAGAGTCTTTATAATAAGGGACTTGGGGGTGTTGTTTGATGTGCAAATGAATTTCAAATCACACATTGAGCATGTCACGGCTAAAGCCAAATCAAGACTGGCTTGGTTAAAGTTCTACGGCAAGGACTTCGTCGATCCATGGACAATTAAACGGCTTTATTATACATTTGTATTACCAATCATCGAATATGGATCGGAAATATGGAATCCACACTACGAAAATATGAGCATAGACTGCTGTTTCTACAAATGATTACGCTGGAGGAAAGACGCAAGATGGCGCAAGTGTCTTTCATCTTCAAAATTATTAATGCAGATATGAAGTCAACTCATGTATCAAACAGTTTAAATTATTATGATAACAGCGTATAATACCCGTGCAATACCGCTTTTTAATATTCCAGTTAGGGGAAGCGATTACACAAAATATGAACCAATTAATTATATGCTTATTACATTCAATGATTATTATACAAAGAAAATAAAGAGGCTTACGTACGCAAGCTGACTTTTCCGCATGGAACCGAAATTTTGGGAATAAACTGAAATCATGGTCTTTGTATGGTTGCAGTAACTTAAATTACCGTGAAAACTTGTGAATATTATTTTCTTATCAAAATAAATAATCACACCAAGTTTAAAGAAATTTCAATCCAAAAAATAGCCTGTTCAAAGTTTCAGATCATTACGGTACCACAAAGGCAAGTCTTTCATACAAAAATGAAACTTTTTGTGGATTTTTGTATGAAAACTAACATCAGATTCGGGTTTCTCCCCCCACTACACAGTCTTTCAGCGTTCAAATTGAAAGAATATCATTTTAAGGCATTTTTCTCATAAGTGCCTCTTCACAGTCTAAGTTTTACATCGATCAATCAATGTCGTTGAAAATTTGACCAGATCTATTCCTCGTAATGCCCAATCATCCCGTAAAGTCAGATTTTGAATTTCATGTCTGAGCACGAAACCATCGTGTCACCAAAATGGTTGAAAAATGATCAAAAAAGTAAAATGTATGGATTGTGTCCATTCGGACCCAAAAAAATTACACCGGTCAACGGATATTGCTCAAAAACTAATCAGCACGTCTCCTAGTAATCCCAAATCATCCTGCAAAGTCAGAATTTGAATTGAGTTTTTGGAAAAAGATTTATCGAGTTAACAAATTTTGGCAACACGCCACAGGACACAGGACACATCACACACAGCGACGCACATTAATATGCCCCAAAATCATCTCCAATCGTGTTTTCTACATTAAAAATGCATAGAAAACATGTTTTGGGATGACTTTAATTTTTTGGCCTAATACAATGCGGAAAAGTAATACCGAATTGTGATACTAATTTGATTGATTTAGAAGTAAATTTATCGACGGTAAAGCTGAGAATTGAGAAATATTTGAAAGAAAATAGATGAATTGTAAACATAAATGAAATCTTTTTATAATAATACTTATTTATCTCTTTCAAAACTGCTTGATGCAAGATTTTAATCATATTGTATTTATTTAAATTATTTTGAATAAACCACCAAGGCGAAGGATTATTATTATTCATTAGAATCAAGACTAAACAATTTCTATACAATTGTAAAGTCAACAATCCAAACTTATGTCCAGTTAAAAACAAAAATCATCAGGAAGCAACCAATATGGTTTAACAAGCCATTAATCGAGATGAAAAACAAAGTCAGCAAAGCTCATCAGATTAAAAATAAGGTCAACACTATTGAATCAATAGAATATTCCAAAGAATTAAGAAGAGAATATAAACGAAGTGCACGGTCAGCACTCAAGGATTACAGAATTATGTGAATTACAAAATAGGGAAAACTGATGATCTGATTCATGAAATGTCTTATCTGGATATGAGGGCAGATGACCAGTCTACGATCACTGGTTTCTTTGCAAAGCATTTTGCTTCAGCCTACAGCTCTTTGAAGGGAAATCTACAATTGGATAGCTCGGAGTTTGAAAATATTAGCAACATTTGTGCTGAAATATCACAGATTGAAATAACTGAGGAGCTTGTTGGACAACAAATTGACATGCTTCCGGATGATCTAGTCAGTGGTCCAGATGAAATACCAAATAGATTTATCAAGCATTGTTTGATTTCATTGCAGGGGCCAATCACAGCATTGTTAAGGAAATCTCTTGAAACATACACTGTACCACAGATTTGGAGAACGACTTTTGTCAGACCGGTTTACAAAAACGGTGACAGAAACAACGTTCAAAATTACCATGGTGTCGCCCTTCAGTGTATAGTGTCAAAAATTCTAGATTCGATCGTCACGAACCATTTCAATCAATATCTAAAGAACATAGTACACGAAAGTCAGCATGGGTTCATCAAAAATAGGTCGACGATAACGAACTTGGCAGAATTTACACCGAATACGATAATTAACATGGGAAAGGGACATCAAACAGACACCATATATTTGGACATCGCAAAGGCTTTTCTGTGAATATAAAATTACTAATTCAAAAGCTAAACATCATGGGATTGAATACACAGCTGTTAAAATGGATCGAGTCGTATTCTTCTGGTCGCAGAAAAATAGTCAAGATATCAGATACCAAATCAGACCCAATCGAAGTAACTTCTGGTACTAGTCAAGGTTATCCCATTGGCGCAACTTTGTTCATCATGTTTGTGATTGATCTACCTTTCGTCGTAACCAATTCTTGCATCCTTTCATTCGCTAGTGATACCAAAATTTCAAAATGTATAAAATCAGAAGATGACTGCATTCATCTTCAAAGGGATTTAGATCGTGTAGCAAATTACTATGGGTAGCCGTGCAGTGGAGGGCGCGTAATGGAACTACGAGCCTATCACTTTTGGCAACACTGTTCGTAGTGTTTTGCATTTCATGAAATGTGACTTTAATGTTTGTTGATATGAACCGTGTTTGAGTTTTTGAAATTCTAATTTATTATTGTGAGTTTTTATATGTATTTTATTATTATGATAAAATAACAGTGAAAAAAATATGTGAAAATATATGTAAGTATTGAAAATTTCAAAAAAACAAGTGCAAATTTCTTGAATTGAATTGGTAAAATTTCTTATTATTTACAAGGTGCGTTTTTCTTTAAGGAGTCAGTCAAAAATATATTTCTTTTTACTAAATGTGTTTATTATGAGTATCTCTGAGCGGTGCAATGTGAGTGTGTAAATGTGTTACGGCTGGAACAAAAATGTGCTAGCGGTTCCACAAGTGTATTTACTCGACCGTAATCGACAGAACGGATAACTAACTTTCAATAACTCTGTAGAAAACTCAATAATATTTTTTAATAATATTGAACTTTATGACGCTTAATGAAGTAATAACAAACACATGTAATAAAAAGAAATATATTTTTGACTGACTCCTTAAAGAACAACGCACATTGTAAATAATAAGAAATTTTACCAATTCAATTCAAGAAATTTACACTTGTTTTTTTGAAATTTTCAATACTTACATATGTTTTCACACATTTTTGCTTTTCCGCACACACCTAGTGTGTAAGGTAAAGTATTGGAATCGGTCGAAAAATTAACACCCTCAAAAAACATGTTTTCTGGGTGTTTTAGGAACCAGGGAACACGAATCTAGCGTTTTTTTGATGTCCGAATGTATGTGCGTGGTACCCTGTACGCTGTACGCTGTACGCAAAAATTTGTTAACACGATAACTTTCAAACAAGAAAAGTAATTCAAAATCTGACTT